CCTGCTATTAGGCTATTGCAATTTAATATAGCCAATAGCAGGCTTGCTATTGCCCCTGGCCGCTGTGTGGTAGACTTGGTGCCGGCTTCCTACCGCCGACGACAAGTCTCCCATCCAAAGGAAAAGGGGGCTCCTCCCTGCTGGGTGCCGGCTGCAGCGGTCTGTGTCCCTTCTGGTCCCTGATGCCTCTGCTGATACAGGTGGGGAGAGCAGCTGGGATCGAATGGGACACCGACTCAGCGGGGAGAAGAACACGGCGCAGCAAAGCTGATGCGGCGGTGGAGGAGGCTGACGAGCCCAGGCGCCAGGATGCAATTTCTAGCCGCCATAGCGAGCTGGTGCCTGTGATTTGTCGAGCCCTGATTTAGATTATATTGGCAACAGGCAGCTCTGGATATATGTGGCCATTGCCTTTGCTTTGACATGTTTTTCTCCTACATTTTATTTTTGGAAAATGTACCATTGCACACTGTTCAGTAGCATTGAAAGAAATAAGCTCAATTTGCACATGACTGGTTAGTGCACTTCACTGCTCATTGCACAGTTGTATAATATCTCCCCCACAGAGATGGTTGAAGGAAGAAAACCTTTTAATGGAGTGCAGACACTGTGCCGTCTGATCCTCTCGCGGTATAAGTGATATCTCAGCATCTGCTGAAGAAGTTCTGTATTTTTAGGCTTGCTACACAATCGGCATTCTTTTTGGCTTCCTGGACAGTGTTTTTAGTTATTTTATTTTTTTCCACTGACCTCTTTCTTCATATTGAGCCAACAAACTGAAATGTGATTTTCAAATTGACTTTAAAATTGTTATTGGTTAATAAACCTAGTTGGATTATGTAGAGAAACATACCATTGTAATCACTACTCATAGCACTGGTGATCAGCTTGCTTAAAGTGGAAGTTAAGTGGTACTTTTAGGTGCTGATAGGCGGACTTAATATGACAGAAGAGCCTGTGTAAGTCTCTTTTGTCATAATTAGTAGTATTATTATTGGTATGTATATTGCCGACAATTTACTCAGGGCTTTCCATACTTCACATTTACATCAGTCCCTGCCTATGAGGAGCTTACAATCTATGGTTACTATTGGGGATGCACGGATACCGTTTTTTTGGTATTGAGTATGCCGAATACCGATAGTCCCAGTAAGGATGCCAGGCGGCGTGTAATGACTCGCCATCCAGCTTCCCATTTAGTCGGATGCTCCCATGGAGCCGGCTTTCTGGCCAATCAGGAAGCCGGCTGCAGGTAATGACTCGCCGACTGGCCTCCTGATTGGCCAGCTTCCCGACCAATCACTTGGTGACGAGGAAGCATGGAGTCGGCTTCCCGGCCAATCAGGAAGCTGGGCAGCGTGTAATGACTCGCTACCCGGCTTCCTGATACCGGAATTTCAGATTCTGGGAAGGTTTCGGAGCACATACTCAGTATCTGCACCAATACTTGTATCAGTGCATCCCTAGTTCCTATTTCACATGCATGCATTTAACCTTCCAGCATGTCTTTGGAGTCAGGAGTGAACCGTCCGGGCATTTATTTACAGTGGCCAGATGGCAAGTGGTTAAATAACTTAAAGCCCATCTCCGGGATAGTAGTAACTCTCCTCCCACCCCTTTTAACTGATTGATGGTTTAAAAAAAAATTAAATGCCCCTTTTACATGCCTAAAACCACAAACATGTTACACTCCCTGAGCCTTCTCTCTTCTGTTTACTTCCTTTGGGTGTCCAATAGGGATGCATCGATATATCGGCCGCCGAAACATATCGGCCGAAAATTGCACTTTTGGCTAAGTGCCGAAAATGCAAACTTAGAGCAGATTATACCGGTTTACAGTGATTGCATCTGTTCAACCTCAATGTCTGCCTTTAAACTTGACTTGAATATACTAATGGTTATAAATGCATTGATTCCTGCTGTCTTGGGATGCAGGTAACTGGTAATTTGCTCAACTTATCCTCTAATATTAGATTCAGAAATGTACACGCTGTACTTTCGGAAAAGCTGACCCTTGGCGAGTATTTGTGTTCACAACATGTAGGACTACTAAAACGTTAAAGTGAACTTCTTGGCAATCTGTCTTAACTTGTAGTGTTCTTGACATGCAGACGCCTAGATATGTCTATACACTTGTAGATTTCTTCACACGAAGCCCCTGGAATTCAGAGAAACCGGGCAAATAGTTATATAAATCTGAGATGTCTAAATCGGACCTTGCATGATTCTGATTTGCTTATTTGCAGTCCACTCTGCTTCAAAACCTTAGCATTTTTCATAAGTTTTTTTTTTATATCGGAATTTTTTCAGTATAACATACATGGAATTACATAGCCACCTTGATGGAGTTGAAGCACTTTTTTAGCAAGAAGCACATTTTATATAGGGATTTAGCTCTTGTGGATAGCCATTCATCATGGAGTATGTCGATGGAGTATGTTTTGCTGCATCTTCTTGCTGACAGCTGGCAGGCAACACTTGTCCTGGACAGCACACATCTGAAGTTATCTGGCAAGAACATTTTAACTTTTTCCTTTGGCAAAAACATACTGAAAAGTTGAATTTAGTTTACTATTAATATATCAGCCACATTGATCAAGTTTCAGTTTACTCATGAATACAGCTGAGATATTCAGTTTTACCAGGGTGTGGTGTTTGCTTTTCATTTGCTGAACTATAATATCCTTTAAAATGACTGCAAAATGTAAATGCAGCTGCTCTAGTTGAAGGGTGTGACCATATTCCAGAATGTTGGGTTTTCTCTTTTCTCCCTGTCTTTTCTGTTGGTTTCTCTCCATTTGAAAATTATGGCTTCTATGACATGCTCATAAATTTGTTATATATAGATAGATAGATGGAGATTATATAATCTCTATCTATCTATATATAATGTCAAGAAAAACAAAAACGTAGTATTGCAAGCTTTCGAGAGTGGACCTCTCTTCGTCAGGTCAGAAGCAATACTGATCAACATGACAGTTTGTCAGTTAAGGCAAGAGAAAGCTGTTAGAGGCAGCTAATATTAGAAGTTCATTGTTCGGGTTTATATACACTTTAACAGAAACCTGTACTTGGAAAAGTTTGCAGGTTGCCACTGCTGACCTCTTCTAATAATGCTAATTGCCAGACTTTCATGCTGAATATATTATTGAAAGTGTTGTTTTATCTGTTCAGTGCTGCACTGAATGTCAAAACAATGCTATCAGCCCTACCTAAGTTCTCTCAATTCTTGGTTAAATAGATGGAGAGGGGGTGAGCATTCTGTACAGTATAGTGAGGGATCATTGTCACTAGGGATGCACCGATACCGGTTTTCCTGTATCAAGTGCCGATATTTTTCTTCCTGCACTTGACAATACCGATACCGGAAGTCCCATTAAGGAAGCCGGGCGGCGTGTAAAGACTCTCCACCCGGCTTACCGATCAGCAGGGAAGCGGTCTCCATGCTCTCTTTTTAAAAGGCGACGAGGAAGCATCCTGGCCAATCAAGAAGCTGAGCAGCGTGTAATGACTCTCTGTCCGGCTTCCTGATACCGGTAGCTCAAGTATTTGGCTAGGCATCGGAGCATCGGCACCGATACCAGTATCGGTATCGGTGCATCCCTAATTGTCACCCTTGGACAGGAATTGTGTTACTAGCAGGTTCACTGGGTGAAAACAAATGCCTGCAAATAAAAAGAATAATAAAAATAATGCAGCTAAGGGTAGGAAAGCTGTGATGTATTACATTTATTCTTGGGTGTAGATCTCTGGCACCCAACCTGCAGGCTGAGGACTGCATGTGGCCTTTGCTTATTGTGCCGCCCTTAGACAACAGCAGTCAGTAATGGGAGAGTGAAAATTGATTTGTAAAGGAGTAATATAATTGTTCTCTGTTTAGCCTCTAAGGGCTTGTTCACACCAAGCGCGGAGCAGATCCAGAGCAGAGCAGGTGCAGACCGGATCAAAACTGCGTCCAATGTATTCCTATGGTATTTTGAGCTCCAGTTCACATTGCAGCGTGCAGATCCAGAGCAGGTGAAAAAACTGCGGCAAGCCCTATTTTACCTGCTCTGGAACGCATCAAAACGCATCAAAAACGCATGCAAGTGCCTGAAAGCCCATGTTAAACTTAAACAAAAACGGATCTGCTCTGCATTTGGTGTGAACAAGGCCTTACTGTCTTCTTCAGCATGTCCCCATTGTCCAAGCAAACCTGTAGCATGTTCCCAGTCTCGCATCATCATTTCCTCTAGTATGTCTACTGTCTGAAGGTCCTCTCTAGCATTTGAAAGGTTATCAGATGGTAAAGACAAAAATTGTTTATGCTTACCACTCAAGGGGCCCATGTCTCCTCCCTTCTTTCTAGCGCTACAACCCCCGTCAGTGACTTTGCCATCCAAGACCTCCGGACGTGTCAGATGCTTGTGTACCTGGCCATGCATTTAGTGGTTCCTTCCATTAGTTCTTTTGTAATGTTGAATTCTAGTGGTTACGGTACTGTTAGACATGGGCTAACGGAGAGGTAAGTATAATGGCTCTGCGCTTGCAGGGTACTGCAGGTATAATCATTTTCAGAGACTAACACACTTGATTCATGAAAACCTATGGAGAGCAGATCAGTGATTCAGTCATATTGTATTATCTTCCAATAATAAAATCACTGTTGTTCTTGGGCCTTATGCCACAACCATAGTGCTCTTAAAGGTTGATGATTATTTTTCCATTTACTTGCTAGTAGGTGTCATAAAGATGGAGGAGGTTGTACTTTATGAAGACCTGCATGATCACCATCTGGATATCCCCAGTAAATTGTTGCCTACCTTTTGCTGCAAATGTGTTCTGGTTTTCTATGCCACCAAAAGCTGCTGGCAGCCATTGTAAACAGAATATTTTTGATCACATCATTGTAGCATTGTAATTCTGAGCTATTGGGCTTGTGTTTATTTACAGCTCCTGATATTTAGGATTTGTTTGAAGTGTATTTTTGACTGAATTCTGCTTGTTGTTTTCTTTTGCAGACTTGTGAACTGTAAATCAGCAAGATGGATGCTACTGTGATTTTACCAATACTGAAAAAGAAATTGGCTTTCCTTTCAGGTATGTTTCTCTTTGGCTGTGTTTCTGGCTTTGTTTGATAGCGAGCAGAGTATGAACTGCCAGCCACACTTTTTTTGCAGGATTTTCAGAAGCACTTGGATTTGTTTAACCCTTTCGCTGCCAAGGACGTATGGCATACGGACCTACAAAAGTGCTTCCAGCTGGCCAGGTCAATATGCCATACGGACCTGGCATTTACAGTTCTACTATAAGCTGATGGTCGCTTTAGCGATACATCTGTTAGTGGTTTTGGCAGAGTACTTTCTGATGGACCTTTAAATTGATCATGCTGATCTTTCCAGAGCAGGTGTTAAAAATATATCAGAGCTTTATGTTTTCCTTCCAGCTGAATCTTGGTGTTTGCTAGGCACACATTCAACACTATTCTCTTCAATGGAAACTTGCAACGCAAAAGAACCTATATTTTACTTTTCACTTTTGCATTAAAGTGACTCTGGCAGAATTAAACTGCTTAAAGGCAAACTAATGATAGATAAAGACACAGAGGCGCTCTCTTTTCATCAATACATTCTAAAGGGTAACTTCTTTTTTTTTTTTGCAGCTAATGTCATTGAATTTGACCTTTTATCAGCCTCCTACAGTATAATCCCTGAATAGACTAAAAAAAAAAATAACCTGTGATTCATAAATTGAATCCTTGTAATCTGCCTTCTTCTGGGTGATGTCTTCTCTGTCTCTTTCAACTCAATACCACCATTGCTTCTTACCTGTTCGCAGTGAACTGCCAGAGCACATCAACTTGCATTGAAAGGGCCCAACCTACCTCTCCACAGCAGTAGAAACTTTCCTATTTGGAAAAATTGCAGACTCCTTCCACAAGAAAGCAAAATGCCAATCTCTAGGTGACTGCCTTGTGTCCTTACTGTCTCCTACATGAGTACTTCCCCAATCCCATGCCAACTGAGGTTCTCTTGTTCCCAGGCTCCACTCCCAAGAAGCGCACACAGTCGCTATTGTGGATTTTGACCTGTAGGAAAGCTCTCTCAAACCTGCCAGTCAGATAGACTTCTAAAGAACAGCAATCAATAGTATGGCATGTCTGCTGACTCTTTTTAAAGCTTATTGTGATTTGAGTGTAATCTAAGACTTTTGCTTTGACTCTGTATTTTTCCGTTTGCTTTTATGTTTTTCCGGTTCCTTATAAATTTGATCTAACACCGAACTCTGCATGCATTTCAGAACTAGAGCCTGATTTCTTTCTTTTACACCTAAGTCCTCTCTGGCCAGTATTCGCTTATAAATCTCTGTGTTTCTCTTGGAGTTCTCTAGTCAGGCTTGACTGTGATCTCCTGGACAGTGTGATTCACCTGACTCACTGCTATCCTTACATGGCAAAAAGAGTGTGCTATTTACGATTTGAGGTGTCTGCCATAATTACATCTGGCATTACATTCTGGTTAGCACAGAGACACCAAGATATTGTATTAAAGAAGAGCTTCAAGTAAGTGTCTGCTCACATAGACATTTAGAAGTGGTATCTCTCACGCCTCTTATATACAGAACAAATTCAAGCATATAAGAGCATGGGGGTGCTATAACTATATCCGGGTTCCAGCCAACCGCTCTATGTAAGATAACAGTTTAGTAAAGTATTGGGCTGGCACACCAGCCACAATCCTGATGCAAAAATGTGATAAACTAGAAATATAATTAAAGTTTACAAAATATATTGGGTAATATTCACCTTGAAAAAGGGGTCTAGGTACCCTGAAACATTGGATATTCTGTGAACCTCATTCATTATTAAAATTGTGATTTGTGTGCTAACTTAATATTTTACTAAACTGATCGCTCCTGCTTATAGGGAGGAGGTGGGGAAGTGGCACCAAGCCTGCAGTGGCTGTAATTCTGAAAAGTGCCATCAGCCTCTTAGGGCCCATTCACACCTCTTGTGGAGTCCTCATCACAGTCCTGATCCTGGCACATCCCATTGTGAACTTTTTTTTTTTTTTAGATCTTTAATGAAATGTAAAAAGTGACATTTTATTCAGTTCTTAGGGCAAAGTGAGGTGCCAGGCGGTTGTTCCACATTGTAATCTGCTGTGCTGAAAGAAAGTATTGCATGCTGTACTTTTTTCAGCGCATTCCACCGCAACCTGGTGGTGTGAATGGTGTCCAACCATGACAAGGCAAATTGCCTTGTCTTGCGTTGGGCCTGCGCTGGGAAAAATGTCCAGCACAGCCCCAACACGTGTTGTGTGATTGGTCCCTAAATGCCAATCATCCATGATCTCAGGGCGAGGCATTTTCCTCCCCTGAGATGATGTGCATGGCCACATGTCTAGTCACGTGCCAGGGTTCCAGGAAGTAAAGGGAGACCTAGTAACCTGCACTTAGTTAACATGGCCACCGTCAGAAGACTGGGGAAGAAAACAGAAATAAGGTATGCAAAGAATAAAAAGCCTGCAATTATCATAACTAAACATTTCTAAAGGTGTGTTTGTTATTGTTTTAAAGATATGGGTAAAGGTCCTCCATAAGAGGAAGATTGTTATCTGCACAGTTTGAGCAAACATTTTTATGACTTTTTACAGCTTGTATTTGGATGAGTAATCTGTCAGTGAGGCAGATAAAGGACTGGGGCCAAAAGTATAGGGGTGTTACTCACTTGTTGTCGATGCTGCCAACATAATACTAAATACCAATTACACATTTTGTTTCACATGAGAGACATTATTCAGGGATTTTGTTTTATTTCCTTGCATCGGACGAATGGATACTTTGGATACGTTGGATACTTTAAGAAGCCTCACTTCTTAAAGGCATGTGTTCATAAAATACACTGATGAGTGCCTAATAGCCTTAACAGCTGTACGCAGGTTGAAATTAATTCCTGACAAGGACTAACTGTTCCTTACTCTTTCCAGAATTGTCTGGGTATATGTTTTAAGTGTATATAATACATTATGTAATTAAAGACGAATTCCAGGAAAATATACACAACCACAAACACTCTTCAATTTAATTAATGTATTTAATTTTTTGTTAAATTTTTATTAATTGTAAAAAATGAAACTGTAAGCTAGTTAAGCCAGTCAGACTCTGGAAGCTTTACCACCGGAGGGGAGAGCACAGTGATGACCTAATCGGTGTTCTGCTGATCATCTGTTGTTCAGTCATCAGGCTGCTGAGGATGGTTTTTCATAGGGAAGCAGAACTTCAGCAGCAGTTTCTTTATAGTTTTTCTTACATCCAGTACAATAATAGGTCTGCATATGATATTCAAGCCACCACCCCACATTTCACAGAATGTTAGTAGTTCTAAAATGTACCTGTGAAGAAAAAAGTTAAATGCATACTTGCATTGCTCCTGCTTTTGGCATCGCTGGGTGTGATATCACTGTTCTGGGAAGATTCCAGGGAAATGCAGAGCAGGTGAAATCCCGTAAGGAGACACTATGTTTTGTTGCAAGAGCATTTCCTCACAACATTAAGGCTTCTCTGTATTCCTCAGGATCTAGCTAGAAGTAATGTGATGTCACTCTTGTCTATGTGCTGCAGATGGAAGATTGGGGTAAAGGAAGTATAAATCTAACTTCTTTCTTGTCCATTGAGGGATTCTGGAATTGTTAGACTGTCGGGTAATATGGACCCTTATGAAAAATAAACACTGGCAAAGCAAACCTGTTAGCTAGCCCAGGATCACATCGTCCATTGCCAGCATGCCTCAGTTTTTTGCTAGTCTCCTCAGGAAAATGGATGTGTTTTCTACAGCTCTGCTTCAGTTTTTTTGTTCATTTGGAAGGTTGTTCTATCAACAGTTGCTGGTAGAGTCATGCTGATAGAGTCATGCTAAAAATGTTAAATCCTGGAAGCTTCTTCAGTCAGCCAATAAGTTCAGGTTTTCCCAGTTTACAGTGGTTCTCCCTCTCTGACAGCCCTGACAGCCCTGAATCTCTTGAAGTTTCTCCAGACTTTTACTGGTAGAATCAGACGGGAAATAAAAAAAACCTCTCGTTAGCCAACCAGCACATGTTCTCTGTCAAACTTGTATTCTGGTGTTCTCTCTGCGACAGTCCTGAGGGATGTGGAAGTCATGTTGCCCGATGCCCGGGACATGCAGTTCCAGGGGCCAGGCAGATAGTTTTTTTTCTACATTTAGCACTGTTTCGGCCTCGCAGGGCTAAATGTAGATTGGTGGAGCCGCTGCTCATTTAGTACAAGTGATCTCAGATCTTCTGGGGTACCTGGGACCGCGGTAAACAAGCTTAGGATGGACAGCGGGGAGCAGAGCCAAGAACGTCCGTTCTCCGCTCTGCTCTGTGATCAGTGAGACCAGAGCACTGTCTCAGCTGTCAGAAAATGCACAGGAGATCTGTTCTGTGTTGAAAGGCAGGTTCCATAAAGAGAACCTTTCACCTCAATACTATCACACAGGCTTGTAAGACCCCAGTGTGATGGGAATAACATTAGGTGAGAAAAATAATATCTATCCGATTAATCGATTAATCAAAGTTAATAATCGTCTAACTAATCGCTTATGAAAATAATCGTTAGCTGCAGCCCTAGTCCAGAGTTGAGGCAGTTTTTCTGTCCGCATCTCTGCAACTCACTGTTGCAGCAGGCTTTTGATGGGTTAAGATTTCCTTTTTTAATGACTTGAGGATGAGTATATGGTACTTTCTACATTAGCAACTGTAGCTGACTGGCCATTTTGTGTGTGTGTGTGTGTGTGTGTGTGTATGTTTGTTTTCCTTTTTATGTACACTTACACAAAAAAGTACTTACACTTTATGTACTTTTCATTTTCAAGTTGCCTAGATAAGGAGCCCGTCTCTTTATTTCTGTTGGGGGGGCTGCACAAGGGAAATTGTTACAGGTTGAATTTTCCAGTCCCTTCCTTTCTTTTCAGCTGCACTTGATGATGCAGCTCTAAATTAAACGTTGAAGTCTGCTTCTGGCTCAGAGGATTGGTGCAAGCACATTATATTGCAGACCTTTATGGCCCATTCAAACCAGTTGCAGTGCGTTCCGGCCCA